CAAGCCATGCCTAAAGGACCAGGGCCTTGATGGTTAAGGTTGGAGTTATTTGCGCAAGGTTAACGTCCGAGTTAGGGTGAGACTTACTTAGCTTCAAATCTAGAATTAAGGGTGAGACTTATTGGTTAGGAGGTAGGGTTAGAGTTAGGGCGAGCTTTAAGGATAGGTTTAGAGATCAAGTACCATTTAGGGTTAGAGTTGGGGTTATTTGTCGGGTTAAACTTATGGGGTTAGTGTTAGTCTATGGCTAATAGCAAGAGACTTTTTGTCGATTTCAGAAGTAAAAAAAACCTCTCTATGCTTCAAGCGCCACAATGCATTGTGGTGAATACGAGACGGTGGTTCTTGATGAATGACGTCACGCAGCAGCCCTTAAAGAGCCACCGCCTGCGGCTACAGAGTCGCAGCTTGCAGACCCCTGGTCTAGGCTTAGAGTCAGGATTACGGTTAGCGTTAAAGTTAGGGGTTGAAGTTAATTCAAGTGTCCGGGCTATGAGTTAGGGTCAGGATTAGAGTTACGGTGAGGGATATCGAGTTATAGTTGGGTTTCTCTTTAAGTTTAGATTTATGATCATAGTTTAGCATTTAGCATTCGAGTCGGTGCTGATCTTTCACTGGTATAAATCCAGACGCTTTATGGGGAAATAAATCTCTGACTCTGCTCTGAAGTGTTCTGGGATATTTGTCGCCTTTTACTCGGGGGGGGGGGGGGAGAGAGGGGGGCGTCGGAATTCCAGGGAACGGAGCCACCACAAAAGCAGCGGTTGTGAAATCAGTGAAGAGGTCGCCGCCATCCACTCCAGAGGCGCCGGCAAGACAAACGAGGCTCTCAGAGCCTCCCCGGGCACAGTGCGACATTGTGGAGCCACCCTCGACGCCCCCCCCCCCAAAAATACAAAGATGCCCCGTATAGCCTTCGTTGAATTTTGCGGCAAGTACTGTTAGCGAGCACCTATGAAGGCCGGCAGGGCACACGAGGGGGTGGGAGGGGGGTTGGGGGAGGGGTAGCACCACACCTTTATTCCCCGAGTGGCGATGTTTACACACCGCACCAGGTACTCATTTGAGGCCGAGTCGACCTAGGGGAGGCCCAGGACCGGTTCAGATAATCTCCACTGGTGTGCGTGGCAAATGATCGGGAGTCGAACTCGGGTGGCCGGGTTAGTAGTGCAGCGCGCTAACCACTGCACCACCGCTCCCTACACCGCCACCCACACACCGAGGTCATCGCCCACTCCGCTTGGCCTCGACTGTTTGCCGATGCGGAGATTGCTGCTGATTGCCGAGCCCATCGGCTTCGTCTTCATGGCCCAGTGGCCGTGCATTCGCCGCTCGTTGCGGTGAGAATTCCGGCGGCCGCCCCGATTAATACTGCGGGTTAATGAGTCGTTAACATAGCGCGTTGATGTCCGCTTCGCTCAAAGCGGCTATTGAAGAGATCCCGTGACGTTATTCGCCAAGAGCAGGCCATCGTGTACCAGCGTCAATGTACGAAATCTGTCAAGTTTGAAAAATCACCCTGCAAACTCCTCAACTGGGATTCAACTCATTCCAACTATCCCCCCTCCTACTCCCCCACTCCCCCCTACTGCGAAAACGTGCCGAGACCTTCCTGAAAAAAAGTCACGAGACGCGACGAGGCTTTTGTGGGTCAAGCGAGCTTCGTTATAAAGTAAATTAAATTATTCGTCTTTCTTCCTTCCTCTTGTTTGTTTTTTCTTGAGCCCTCCGTCCTTCATTCTTCCTTCAATCCGCTGCAGCTCAGGAGGACCTCCGGTGTGTTCGCATGAGCCCAGAGTTTCACACCATTGTTGACTTGCACCACATTGGGATTTTGGCACACAGCGTTTAAATACGTTTTTTTATTTGCTGGTTTAATCCACGATGTTTCCGTTACGCGTCGTCGCTTTAAGATGTTCTGTGTTCATATTTTGTTTGTTGAGGTTGCACCCGACTTAAGAGCCGCATGGCTCACAGGGCTATACCTAATACATGAAACTAATAAATGAAAAAACTTGTCTCTCCGGGTGGCCGTCGAGTACACTACGTCCAATTACCTACACGCGTTAGAAACGCGCGTTTAGTTTATTAAGCGCAGTGTTTCTTAGCCTGGAGTGCACGCAGCCCCTGTGGGTGCCAGATGCTCTTTCTGGGGGTGCGAGACATGGCCAGATGTTTTAGAAGGTAAATCATCGAAACACAAACTAATCACGGGCACGTAAGTACAACTACTTTGTTTCATCAAACTTACGTGTGTATTAACATTATACTTTTTTTACGATTAAGAACCAATGGGGTGCAAGGCTGCAGTACATTTTAAGAGCCATTGAGTATTTTGGCTGCTATACATTTCCACGTGATACGCCACTTCGCTGAGCTATCATCCATGAGCAGGTAGTTTCTGCAAAAGAAGATAATATCACAGTGGGCTTTACCTGGTAAGATAACAAAAAAATAGTTTTATTTGTTTATATTTTTTTAATGATTTCTTTACATTTCCTATATTTAGCGCTCCTATCGTGCGTTTGTCTTGTTTGCTGTTGTAAAGTTCTGACTTGCCCCGGCTGGACATCTGGGGAAAAAAATCTACATAGCTCATTGGACTCCTCCAGTATGAATACATATTGTGATTCTGAGTATACCCTCACCCTCGATTGTGCGGCTACTCGCAGCCATGCGCCACCGACTGCAGCCTACCGGCAAGCCGTGGCACGTTCAGTGCCAGATTGATGGAGCTCTCTGCCTGCGACGCGACTGGCAGGCGAATTCATTGCTCTGCTCCGCCACGGCCCATGGCCCTCAGGCCACGCATCTTGCTTGTTGGCACCAGCCGAGAGAGAAAAATTACGATGTTGTTGTTGTAGTAGTAATTCGAAAAGGAACAGTCATATTGATAACCTTCACCGGTGATTCTCCAGCTATGTTCTCAGGCGACCCCCCCCCCCCGCCCCTACAGGTTTCTCGGTGTCCTGGGATTGGGGCCCCATCCCTGGGTCCTGGTGTCCAGGGTCCAGAGATCAGAGTCTCAGGATCCAGCGTCTAGTCAATACTTGGGAAAGTGACCACCACCACCAGGGCTTGCCAGGTGTTTTGTAGGAATGGCGCTGTGAGGTGTGGCCAAGAGATGGCATGGGTTCAGTGTCGCCTTCTCGGTCTCATGCCTCGTGGGTTATCTCTGGGTTCTCCGGTTCCATTCCCACGCGAATCCAAACACTCGCTCGTGGGACTCAACAAGCATCCCAATGCTGCAGCACCTCGCTGAAGGAGAGTCTTGGGGAGACTTTCCTAGATAACTCATCATCATCAACAAAGGCCAGGATAAACCCACTGTTGGATGAAGACCTCCTCCCCACGCTACCATCGTCCGTCACGGTCTTGTGATGCTGTAATCGCTCTCGTTGTTGGGTGTCTGGCCGAGGGCAGGGATTTGCATTTTTCCGAGCTCATGATTAGCGAAGCGGCGCCTCAAGGAGCATTTCGGTGCCACTGAGATGGCACCAGGGGGACTGGGGGTGGGTGGGGGTGATGGCGATGCCATCAGCACGAGCAGTGGGCCTCACTGGCGATCCAGGCTAAAACATTTCGCAAGGGGCATCTTCTTTTCGTTTATTTATAGGTTTATATTTGGAAAAAAAGTGAGTAAATGAAAAATAGTGTATGACAGAGTCAAAGAGTTTATTTTGCCCAGGAAGAACCTTGGGCCTACATGGGCTCTTTTATGAGATCGACCTGGTCAAGATGGCCATAACATTATCTCCATCTCAAATGTCTCAAATATCTGCGGCTGGAGTGGAGGGAGAAGGGAGGGGGTTCAACTGCCCCTTTTGCCCCCCCCCCACCCCGCCCCCTGGGTGCACTACTTATTGGCATGATCCGCATTCTGCCTGTGGGTGTCCAGTAAGAAGCTATTCACTGTGCGAACTGACACGCTAATGGGTGTGTTGTTGCTTAGAGCTCCCGTTGGCAACCATCCATCTGATCCGCATCTGGCTAGTAACGAGCTCCCCGTGCCATCGGCGGCGACAGGGCCGCTCAAGTAGCGGGGCCTGGGGAGCCGGAGAGCTTTGCCGGTGATAGTTTCTAGCCAGGGCACGGCCACGTAGCTGTCAACCTTAACGACTTAAGCCGTCGGCTGCCGATGTTTAAACCCTTTGATGATGGATCGTCGTTGTCAGCGATGGTCAATCCACTGATGGACGAAGGCCACCCTCCAATGATCCTGCACCATAACCACTCGCACGGCACCTGCACACAAACTGATTTCATCGCTCCATCTTCTCTGCGGACGTCCAAAAATGCTAACCGCATTAGAGATTTCCAGAGTTGCTCATGCATGTATACTCTTTATTTTTTTTCCGGTAAAGTCGCGTAGGTAAAAATATAAAATAAATGAAAAAAGAAAAGAAAAGATAAGAAAAATGTTCGTGCGAAAACAAATGAGAGTTGACGCATTTTTTGTTGCCTTTTCTCTCGGTTCTCCGGTTTCCTGCCACGCGAAGCCACACGCCGATGAGAGGGGAACTGGTCAATCATCCCGACTGCAACACCCTCGTGGAAAAGAGTCTCGAGAGAGAGGCGCCTCTTGTTAGGCAACTGCCACGACTATCACGATTATTGATAATAGTATTCGTGTGACATCTCCCACGTTGCTCCGAGTCCACAAAAGCCGATTTGTGTGCAAAACACCACGGTGAAAACCAGGCGCAAAATCGCTCTCTCCGCAAAAAACAAAATCCTAATGTAAGTCTACAAATCTCAACCCCCCCCCCCCCCCCCCACCAATTACACGTATTTTCTACGACTCCTGCGGAACGCACATGACGGCCTAATCCCGTTTGAGGCCGAAATCCCCTTCTTATTCCCGCGGTCCCGTGACCAAGGGGGTACAAAGCGGGGCTCTGTTCCCCGGGGATAATGACGACCCACGGCCCGCGTGGGAGGGGCCGCCCGGTAACAGGGGCGGGCGGGCGGGCAGGGGGCCTTGACAAGCAGCATAAAGAGGCCGTTCCAGACGCACGGCGCACGAACTCGCCACTGCACGCGCCGGCCTGTTGGACAGACGCCCCGAGATGGCTACTTGGTGAGTGATGGGTAACCTAGTGAGTGACGTCACCTCGCCTGGTGAGTTATGGGCGCCCAGTGGGTGTGAGTGACCTCACCTGGTGAGTGATGGGGGCCCAGTGGGTGTGAGTAGCCTCACCTGGTGATGGGTAACCTAGTAAGTGATGTCACCTCGTCTGGTGAGTGATGGGCGCCCAGTGGGTGTGAGTGACGTCACCTGGTGAGTGATGGGCGCCCAGTGGGGTGCCGTTCTGCATTTTTCCAAGCACAAGGTCAACTGACCTCACCATATCTCGGAAGGTGAGCAGGTGTGAGCTGGTTAGTACTTGGTATGGGGAGACTGCCTGGAAACACCAGGTGTGGTAGGCTTGAGCTGCGACTTGGCCGGGATACGGCAGTGCATTCCATGGATTATTGAATCAATCTGTGTGGAGCCTTGAGCTTCGTGCCCTCATCGTACGCGTGCTGATGTTTTCTCCGTCCTCTCACGCGAAGCCCAACTCTCGCGAGACGGGAGAGGTCGAAAACACTCAAAACGATGCAGGTTGGGACGTTCCCGGCTAAAGCACTGAGCAGTGTCGCCGTTCCACTCAGCGACAGGCAGATGCGGGCCCCGTGACACCAAACGCCTCGATCTCAAGGGAGACAAAGCGAGCGCGCGCGTGTGCCTGATAGATTCTGAAATTTGCCTACTCGTCTTCAAGAGTCTCCACCAATCAGCTCCGTCCACTCTCGCCGATCAGTGTGTGCCAGCTTCAACAGACAACAAATCGACTCCGGCTACGATCCGGGGGCGCGCGGCGACTTTCTGCTTCGCCCGCCGCGCGTGAACCTCGCGCGCGACGCGGCCAACGCAGTGTCGGCGTCTCCGGCGCAAAAACCTGGAGCGCGCTATCGGCTCATGTTGGGGATCCATCCCTCGTGAGTCTGAGCCAGTTCTGCGAGAGACGCAAAACGGTGTTGCTGTTTCAGAGAGCACGCTTCAACGTGTGGTCGATGCACACTCGTGATGGACTGGACCATAACGAGTGCGCAATAACAAATGTCCTGACTCACTTTCGTGAACCAAACGGTGCCTCCATTAGCTACGTTCCTCTGTCCACTGCCGTGCCAAGTCCGCGTTTGTGTTAGCGAGGACCTCCTGCTATTAGGAGACAGATCCATAGAAAGGTCCCTTACTGCTTGCTGATTGCCGCTGGAAAACAACTCTGTGATGTCCAGCGGTCGCTGCCGACAATCGCGAGATGCGAGAAGCGATGGAGTCAGCGACCTCACTCACTTATTCACTCACTCGTTCACTCACTCGTTCACTCACTCATTCACTCATTCATTCACTCACTTATTCACTCACTCATTAACTCACTCGTTCACTCACTCGTTCATTCACTCATTCATTCACTCACTCGTTCACTCACTCATTCACTCACTCATTCACTCACTCATTCACTCGTTCACTCACTCGTTCACTCATTCATTCACTCACTCAGTCATTCACTCACTCATTCACTCACTCATTCACACACTCATTCACTCACTCATTCACTCACTCATTCACTCATTCACTCACTCGTTCACTCACTCGTTCATTCACTCATTCACTCACTCATTCACTCACTCATGCACTCACTCATTCACTCACGCTTTTATTCAATCACTCATTCACTCACTCACTCATTCCCTCCCACTCTCTCCCTTCTCGTCGCTCACAAGAGAATGTGATGAATGGGAGTGTGTGACGCCATCGTGTGTCTGATCGAACGCAAATCGTGAATTTTGTGATGGTCTTAATGTTAAGAGACGATTATGGATCCATTACGGGTTTGTGTCTGGGCTAAAATAAAAATGGACTTCGTGATTGTTCAATGCATCTGGTCTCCAGCTGATCTTTAGTTGGGTTATGATCCTGCTGTGGGTGCGTCTACCTCGAGCATCAGTCACTGTAGATCATGTCAGTGTCCGTGTGTATGCCCTGGTGTGTTCGTCTTTCCTCCTCCTGAGAGCTCATCTCAGCAGTGTGTCCGTGTGGAGGTTGGCGAGCGAGCCCGCCGGCACGCCCGCTGCAGGAGTGAGCCTCGCGGCCAACGATTTGAAACGCCGCCGGCGAACGCCCGCGGCGGGCCGAGGGGTCACCGCGCGCTCCGCAGTTTGGTGACCCCCGTCGCGCGCTGCTGGCACTGGATCGCGATCCTTTTAATCTCCGATTAGCACGGGTGGCCACGTGGGGGGGGGGGGGGGGGGATAGCGACAGAAGTTCAGCATACACACATCTGTGTAATCTCGTGGGAATCTCAACTTCGTTATGTGTGTATCTTCGCCAGAGAGGATCCAGTGGTGTGTTATGACCGTTGTGTGACGTGTCTACTCCAGTGTGGGTCACGGTGTCACGTGTCTACCCTAGTGTGGGTCACGATGTCACGTGTCTACCCTAGTGTGGGTCGCGGTGTCACGTGTCTACTCCAGTGTGGGTCACGGTGTCACGTGTCTACTCCAGTGTAGGTCACGGTGTCACATGTCTACCCTAGTGTGGGTCACGGTGTCACGTGTCTACCCTAGTGTGGGTCAGGGTGTCACGTGTCTACCCTCGTGTGAGTCACGGTGTCACGTGTCTACCCTAGTGTGGGTCACGGTGTCACGTGTCTACCCTAGTGAGGGTCGCGGTGTCACGTGTCTACTCCAGTGTGGGTCAGGGTGTCACGTGTCTACTCCAGTGTGGGTCACGGTGTGCCTCCTCCTGCTCTAGTGTGGAGCACCCTGCCAAGGGCTACACGGCTCTGTACGAGACGGCGCAAGAGGTGAAGACCCCCATGCCCACGCAAGTGCAAGGTGAGTCTCGTCGCCGTGTCAGAGGTGGTAGTCGTTTGCGCCGATGATGGGGGCGAGGGGGCGGGGGCGAGGGGGAGGGGGGGCGGGGGGGAGGGGGAAGCCGCCTCCTCGTGGCTCAGAGACACCGAGCCGTACCGCTGTGAGCCTGGGTTCGAATCTATGTCTCAGTCGCCCGCGGTCAAATCGAGCTGTATGTGTGTATGAATGTTGAACTTCTTTCGCACCGTACGTAGCCAACCCGAGCTAATCGGAGGTGCGGAGTTCGCGAGCGGCCACGAGTCGATGGCTTTGTTAGTGACTGCCCACACCCACACACGACAAATGCATCAAATTTAAATCGGGTTTTCAATTAAAGTGGATAAATGCCAATGGTTAGCTTCATAGCATTGCGCCGATCTGCCTGAAGCGAGGCGGTGTTGCAAAGTGAGCCACCGAGCATGGATTGAAGACATTTCACAAACAGTTAAGTGATGTCTGCGTCCGTGGGCTGTTACCCAACATGGGATGATGATGCACGACTCTGTGAGAGTTTCCAACGCCGATAGCGCAATTGTTATACATTTGGGAAACGCAAGAGAAACATTGAAGTCGCATTTTAGTGGTGAATTCACCAACCCACACTGACCAGATTGGTGAAGTATGGTCAAATGACCCCCACGACCCACACGGTGCCATCTCAGAGGTACAACAACAACAACGATAAAAACTGCGACCTACCATGGGCATGACAATATCTCAGGCCACCGTGAGACCGGAGACCTGCGTGTAACTGCGCTGTCTTGGGTGCTTTGGCGTTATCACGCAACTCACAAGGAGGCCCTCTTTCAGGGGGGGGGGGCGGGGGGGGGTTGCCACCTCTTTCTACTTGCAACCAAAACCCGGACAGACTTCTCAGTCAGCCGAGGCCAGGGGGACGGCAACCTCCACAATTCGCACGTTCTGACTACGTACGGCGCGACATGAGTTCAACGTCCATGCAGCATACGACACACACAACATACATTCGTACACACAGCATGCGGCTGCGGAGCTGCGCGCGGCTCTTTAATGGACTGCTTCGTGATATTATTGGCACTGCGTTGCGGCTCAGGATATAATTGAGGGTCTTTCTTTTTTTATAACCAAATTTGAAAATAATGGCTATTCTTGTTAGCTTGGCTGCCGACCCCTGGCCCAAGTCTATCAGAACGGTGACCTCCTGCGATGAGGTTCAGCACAATACCGACAACCAGATCTCGGTACGAACGAACCCCCTGTAACTCAAACACTGATGCCCAATTCGCGAACTGTCCGGATCAAACCCCGTGGACACGTGTCTGACGCTACTCATCCAGCAGTGGATCGCGACATAGGGCTGTTAGGGAGACGTGAAGTGGCGAGGCCGCAGCAGACACGGGGAGTAACTCAGACTCTCGCTGTCTGGCTGGGAGTGACTCCCACCGCGGCTCTGCCCTCGCTGTCGGAACCACCCTCGCTCTCATCCCCTGCGCGTTGCACACAAACCCGGAGCCTCCTCAACTCCTCTCCTCCAGCGCCACCCTCAGTCCAGCTCATCGCGGAGGCGGAGAGTAGGACCCCCTGTTTTACAGCCGATGGTGGCCTTGGTCAAATATCCAAACGGGGCAGCTCCGACTGCAACTCCGCCCTGATTTCGTTCAACAAAGGCGAGAAAACAAATTAAATTTCCCAACCTTCTAAATGTTGCGAATGCTGCGTGGGGCTGCAATGTCAGCAGAGGGCACCAACGTGCATTGTTGTACTCTATTGTGATACAACTTCCATGCTCATCGCCTTCGCCAGCACGCGCTGACCGTAAAGTTTGGTCACCCCCCCCCCCCCCACCACGGCCCACAACGGCGTGGGGAGGCCCTCATCCAGCAGTAGATTAACAAAGCGGCTGTACGCGTGCACTTGCATGTGCAGGTAGGAATCCGCCGCGGTTGCCACCTGTCCGGATAAAACCTGGACAGGTGGCTAGAATCGGACAGTTTGTGTTCGCGTGGCAGGGATTTGTTTTCTGTCAAGATCCTGTACCGCTCCTATTGTGGTGAACTTCACCGCGGCATTCTCTCAAGAGGTCACATCGACCGGGGCCGGCTGAGTGATGTGTCCGGTGAAAAGGGTGTCAAAACCCCCCAGCGAGGGTCTGCTGAATGGTAACAGCCGCCGCGGCTGCTTCTGCCAAGACGCGTCACGGTACCCCCCTCCTCGCCCCCCCTCGCCCCCCCCCGTCCCCCCGCGGGTCGGTGCAGGCCGCATCCCGTCGTGGCTGAGCGGCAGCCTCATGCGGTTGGGGCCCGGCCTCTTCGAGGTGGGCTCCGAGGAGTTCCTGCACCTGTTCGACGGGCAAGCCCTGCTGCACAAGTTTGAGATCAGCAACGGCGCCGTCACCTACGCGTGCCGGTGCGCGCCGAGTCCGTGGCGCACGAGCCGCACACACACAGACACACACACAGACGCACACAGACGCACAGCACACACAGCACACACAGACACACACACAGACACACACACAGACACACACAGACACACACACACACACACGCAGACACACACAGAGACACACACAGACACACACACGCAGACACACACAGAGACACACACAGATACACACAGACACAGACACACACAGACACACACAGACACATACACACGCAGACACACGCAGACACATACACACACAGACACATACACACGCAGACACATACACACACACAGACACACGCACAGACACACACACAGACAGACACACACACAGACACACACACACGCAGACACACACGCAGACACACTCACACACATACAAAGATTCTCCGTCCCCACCCGTATAGTCTTCACAGGCTGTTGGGGCAAGTGACCGCGAGCGGGAATGAAACTCGGTTTTGACGGGTTCGTAGCGCAGCGCGCAAACCGCTATGCTACCGCGTCCCAAAAACACACACAAAAAGACAAAGATACCCCGTATAGTATTCGCAGGCTGTTGGGGCAAGTGCTGTTAGCGAGCACCTATGAAGGCCAGAACGGCACACGAGGGGATGGGTGGCCAACACCACAACGGCCCGCTTTTGTTTCCCAGTGGCGATGTTCACACACCGCGTTCTCATTTGAGGCTGAGTTGACTTAGGGGAGGCCCAGGACCGGTTCAGAATCGTCAATGGTGTTGACCGTGAGCGGGAATCGAACCCGTGTCGCCGGGTTCATAGCGCAGCGCGCTAACCGCTGCACCACCGCTCCCCACTATATACACACACTCTGTCGTATGAATGATGTTGATATAGAGCAGCAGCTATAATATTACATCGAGCTGCCTAATGAGCCATATGATTGCGTCAGGAGTAGCGCAGTGGTGCATCGCTGTGATGATGATGACGATCCCTCCTCCGTAATTGTGAATTACGCATTTCGCCACTGCTATGCAATTCCTTGACACACCGAGACACACCGAGACACACCGAGACACACCAAGAGACACACCGAGACACACCAAGAGACACACCGAGACACACCGAGACACACCAAGACACACACCGAGACACACACACACACCGAGACACACCAAGAGACACACCGAGATGCTCGCGTATGTCGCAGTTTGCAAATCCTTGCGGCGGCGGGCTCCACGCATCGGCCACAACTCAAACGCATGTTTTTTTTTTTTTAACGCAACCGTATTAACACTTACCATGGCGACGTTGATGCAGTTGCAACGGTAACGCGTGGAACCCTGTGCGTTTTCCCCACCGAAAGTTTCCTTAAAACGGACACGTACATGCGCGCCATGACCGAAAACCGGGTCGCGATCACCGAGTTCGGAACCGTCGCCTACCCCGACCCCTGCAAGAACATCTTCTCCAGGTGAGCCACACCTGTGTACCTGTCCGCCTGTCTGCTCACCTGCCCGCCTACCTTTCAGTGAGGCTGCATCACTGCCAGCGGGGCTACTCGCCTGTTTCCCCAACTTTTAGTCAACAACGCATATCTGCTCGCCTCGAATGTCTCCCCACCCATCACGAACGTTTATCACTCACCCAAAGACAAAGGTTCCCCTATAGCCTTGGCAGACTTTTTGGGGCAAGTGCTGTTACCGCTCCAATGACCAAAGACACCACGCACACTCACACGCCCATTCACCGGGAGAGTTCAAGAGACATTATTCTCACGTTCGGAGTGAGAATGTCCTTGGGTCTCAGCGGGCATTCTCAACTCCAGACGACGACGATCTGACTTGAATGGCGCCGCAACCCCCCCGCGGGTGGAACCCCCCCCCCGCCCCTGTCCGCACGCACGCAGGTTCTTCTCGTACTTCCAGAAGATCGAGATCACCGACAACGCGCTGGTCAACGTCTACCCCGTGGGTGAGGACTTCTACGCCTGCACAGAGACGAACTTCATCACCAAGATCAACCCCGAGACGCTGGAGACCGTCGCCAAGGTGCGCGCTGAGATCGCACCGTGGGCCACAGCCACAGCGTCAATCACCTCGACCACACGGGCCCGCCTGTGGCACCGCCTGTAACACAAACGACGCCAATCGCGACCACAGCCAAAGTAGTCACAACAACACGAGGCCCACAACTCTGACCACGTGCCTCAAGCAGAGAACATTCGGCCGCAGCGCCACCCACAGCAATGTCACGACATCGGCCTTCACGCGTAGCAACACCAATGGTCAGCGTCCATGCCTCAACCACAGTCAACATGTGTGTCGTAGACCCTACTCCACTCGACATGGCCAATGACAAAATCTGTCACGTGATGATAAATTGTGCCGCGTTTGTCCATCACGTGACAACTTTATTCAAATCAGCTGTGGCGGGTGGAGTAGAACGCCGCGGCGTCTATGAGATGTTAACTACCTCGCCTGGTATACAGGAGGTCGTGGGTTCGATCCCGACCCTGACGCCTGCTGTTTATTTGGAAGTGTGCGTGTCTCTCTCTCTCTCTCCGTAGTCGTGTGGATTTTTCTCCGGGTCCTCCGGGTTTCCCCTCCACATTAAGAATCAACATCACGCGCTCAGAGTATTTGATTTCTATAAATGTCCACGTGATAAGCCACTTCGTTGGGCTATCATTTGTCATAGCCACTTCTGAAAAAGAGCCACACGGCTCAGTGGGGCCTTGCCCGCTAAACTAAAAGTAGTTTCAGGACGTTGTTCAGAGCGCATGAAAGATATTTCAACAACAAATCGTAAATATCGCCCGCCTCCGCCCAAAGGTTGACCTGTGCAAATACATCTCCATCAACGGGGCGACGGCGCACCCGCACATCGAACAGGACGGCACCGTCTACAACATCGGCAACTGCTTCGGCAAGGGGCTGTCCTTCGCCTACAACATCATCAGGATCCCCCCGCTGCAGAAAGGTGAACGCGTAACCCCCCCACCCCACCCCACACCCCTTCCGCTCGTGCTGAGCGCTCGGGATTTGATTTTGTCGAACCCAGGTAGAGAACTCGGGGGGAACCGGGGTCAGGGGTCCTCGTCTGCAAGGGTGACCTCGGGGGCGTCTCGCCGCTGCCAGTAGCGGGCGAACGATCGCCGTGCCGCCGTGCGTAGTTTGGTCCCAGGCTATTGGGAGTTTTTTGCGGTGTGCGGGTTTTTGAAGGTAACCAAAGTTGGACCGCGACGCCCGCGCACGATGACCCCACTCGTGCAAACGACGTGCAGGAGACATTTAGCGGCCACTGGTGACGCGGACGGCGCGTCGTGGCACTGTGGTGGTCACGCGCCGCGGTGAATAACCAGGGCGCCCGCTCGGTTTAGAACCGTGAATTTCTACAACAAGCAGCGAGCCACTGTGATGACAGTGGTACCCAGCACCAGACTGAACTGAAAGTGGCACACCACATCACATCACTGTGATAATAGCGGCACACATCACCACACTGCACACCACACTACACCACTGTGCTGAGAGTGTCACACATCACCACACTGCACACCACACTACACCACTGTGATCACAGTGGCACACAGCACCACCCCACGCGCGATCAAAGTGGGCCACCTCCCCCGTACCACACCTCCACAAAGACAAAGATCCCCCGTCTAGCCTCTACAGACCGTTGGGGCAAGTGCTGTTAGCGAGCACCGATGAAAGCCGCCACGGCACACGAGGGGGTGGGTGGCCAACACCACGCCCGCACACACACTCACACCGGCACACGCGAGCGCGCACGAACTCTCGCGCTGCCAGATTGCCACAAACGCCACCGCATGACGAGTGGAGATCGCTGCAGACGCCCGCCGAGCAGCAGAAGGTGATCGTCTCAGCAAGAACCGGCGGCGGCGGTGGGGCCTGCGTGGCCTTAGCCGTGATTTGCGACCGCTGCGTTCACGTCGCATCAGCACGGCCGACGCGGTCACCCCCTCCGGCAATTACGGTGCCGTAATTGCGTAATTGTAGAGTCCTCAGCACGCGCGCCGTCTCCCCCGCGTGAGTTATAAGCTCGCGCGGGGCGTCATTGACTCGCGCCGCGTTTTAAACAAGCCTCCCCATTACACTGTCTCCTTTGTTTATGCATCGGCACGCTCGTTGATAGCCGAGCCGAGGCGATGCCGGAGAGATGGAAATGACGGCCAGATGGAGAGCGCGTCCACTGCACCGCCCGGGCAGCCCGGCCCCTGGCCCTGTGCGAAAGCGAAATTCCCCGTCGCTGGCAGACAGCTGCCATCGTTTTCCGCCGCGGTTTGGCCGGCGTCAAATAACCTGGAGAGTGTTCGTTCAGCCACGTGTGTGTCCCGCCCAAGGCACCAAAGAAATTCCATGAATGTCGTCGGAGATGTTGTGGGTGCCTCTTAGCGACGGCTAAACCGTGTCGGGGGTGCGCTACGAACACGATGGCGCAACGGGTACACGGCGGGGACACGGGGCCATGGCGCCACGAGGCCAAGGGGCCACACGGGGCCATGGCACCACGGGGCCAAGGGGCCACACGGGGCCACGGGGCCACGAGACACGGGGCCACGGGGCCACGGGAGTGGTTGCTCGGCAGACACCCGTCACCGCACCACGGCGAGACGTCCCGTTTGCTCTGTGTTCCAGACAAGGTGAACCCCTTGAATAAAATGTCGGTGGCCGTGCAGCTTCCGTGCAGCGAACGATTCAAGCCGTCCTACGTGCACAGGTGAGACACAGCGCGGGGCGAGCTTGAGCACGGGCGAGGTGGCGATTTTCAACAGGGCAGGGAGGGAAGGAGAGCGTCTTGGGGTGAGCCCCCATGTGACCCCCCAGCCCACTCACCCCTCCCCCCGCCTTTCTCCCAGCTTCGGCATGACGGAGAACTACTTCGTGTTCGTGGAGCAGCCCGTGAAGATCAACCTGTGGAAGTTCCTGAGCGCCTGGGGGCCCCGCGGCGCCACCTACATGGACTGCTTCGAGAGCCACCACACGATGGGGGTACACGCGGGCGCGTCACCCGAGCGTGGGGAGTTGGGGAGGGGGTCACGGTTAGGGTTGATGGTGGGGGGGGGGGTATCCTGGGGTCACTGGAGGGGGCAGTGGCCAGTTGCGTTGACGCACGGCACGTGATCATGCAGCACGTGGCCTTGAGGAGGAGCGGTTTGTAGGCGGGGCACGCGAGACAATCAAACACGCTCCGTGCCCCTCGCCCTGACCCCGACCTCCCAGCAGCAGCAGCAGCCACTCGCACCAACCCACTCACTGACCCGACCACAACTAGCTAACTAGACCCTACCATAACTAGCTAACTAGACAATAACCCTCTCACTGGCTCTACCATAACTCCCCCTCGAACCCCCCCCTCCCACTGCCCCCCCCCACCCCCCACTCCCCCCTCCCCATTCCTCTATCCCTCCCCCTCCCCGTGCGCGCGCCCGCGCGTGCACGTGCAGGTGTGGGTGCACGTGGCCGACAAGCGCCGGGGCGAGTACCTGGACATCCGGTTCCGCGCGGCGGCCTTCAACATCTTCCACCACATCAACACGTTCGAGAAGGAGGGCCACATCGTCATGGACGTCTGCTGCTGGAAGGGGTAAGCGGGCACCCCCGTCGGCGTGCCCGTCGAGTGCGCAGGCGGTGCAACTGCACCCGGGGCCCGCCGGCCGGAGGGGCGAGCGAAGGCGCCAGGCTACGATGAGGATGTTGGATACGGGAGTTGGGGGGGGGGGGGCTGAAGGAGGTGGGGGGCACTATATTTATTGCACCGGGGTCAATGCCAAACCACGAGTGGTCAGACGCTACCGTGGCTACCTGACACGGTCCTCGCTGGGAACTTGCCACGTCAACTTTGTTCCCGAGTGTCGAATAAAGCTCCGTAGCTAGCGCCAACCAGAACCACCGTCTCCACCGCGGTAGCGAACACCACGACCACGAACACCACCACCACAACCAAAACCACACCATCTCTACCACGGTAGCAAACAGCACGACCACAAACACCACCACCACAAGAACCACACCATCTCCATCACGGTAAACAACCACCACCACAACCGCCGTCCCCACCCCTACAGCAGCCCGTGTAGTCGCTGCATGTCAATCCGGGAGTCGTCCACGGCGCGTGCCCTCCGTCTCTCCCTGGCACTTGCATCTCACCGCACGCCACGAGGGAGACAAAGGCGGCCGGGCGTGGTGCTGGCCACCCACCCCCTCATGCACCTTGCCGGCCTTCGTAGGCGCCGCTCGTGACCAGCACTTGCCGCAACACTTTGTGAAGTCCGCACGGGAGATCTTTGTCTTTGTGTGCTTGCACGTGCAGGTTTGAGTTCATCTACAACTACCTGTACCTCGCCAACTTGAGGGAGAACTGGGAAGAGGTGAAGCGGAACGCGTACAAGGCTCCCCAGCCGGAAGTGCGGCGATACGTGCTGCCCATCAACTTCGACGAGGTAAACTCCTCCTCCTCCTGCTCATCATCATTACTACCATCATGGTCATCATCACCATCATCATCATAATCATTACCATCGACAACACCATCACCACCACCATCATCAGCATCATTGTCATCATCACCATCGATACCACCATTATCATCATGGTCGTCATCATCATTATGATGGTCATCATCAACATCATCACCATCATCACCATCATGGTTATCATCATCAACACCATAATGACCATCATGGGGAGGACTCGGGCTGGCAGTTTGCTGAAGATGATTCCCCGGCCACTCAGCTATCCCTCCGTCACGGAGCCAAACATCCATCACGGAGCCGTGACACTTCGACGGAGACTCTCAGAGACACCGAGCCTCGTCGGTATCCATCACCATCTCACTCTCTTGCGGATCGCCGGGAGACCCCTGGGGCAGGCACGTGACGAGCGGTGGCCACGGTCACAGCGAGAGAGGTCAGAGGTGTACTCGACGTGGTGTGCCGAGCGCGGGGAATGTTCTCGCCCTCCAGGAGGAGTACGGCAAGAACCTGGTGCTCCTCGGAGACACCACGGCGACGGCGACACTCCGCAACGACGGCACCATCTGGCTGGAGCCCGAGGTGCTCTTCTCTGGACCGCGCCAGGGTGACAACGCACGCCGCTCCCCTCGCCCCCGATAACCGCACACCGCACTTCTCGCCCCCGATAACCGCACACCGCTCCCCTCGCCCCCGATAACCGCACAACGCTCCTGTCATCCCCGATAACCGCACACCGCTCCTCTCCCCCCCGATAACCACAAACCGCTGCCCTCGCCCCCGATAATCGCACACCGCTCTTCTTACCCCCCCCCCCCCCGCCCGCACAACCGCTGTTGATATCACCTTGTTTGCGAGAACAGGGTTTGTTGATTTTAAACACGGCGCGGAGTGTTAGCCTGAGCATGCTGGATCACGGAGGGGCTAGGCGCCTTGTGCGCTAACGCGGGGCCACACGAACCCCCATGATCGATGGTCGTTACCCTACAAGAAAGCAGGGCTCCCTGTCCATAGCCGACGTTCTACCCTAAAGTGCCCAACCGGGGCGAGGTATTCCAAAGGTGTGGGGATTGCATCGGAGCCAAACGCTGGCACCTTCAATGACAGCTGCGGGGGATGCGCCAAGAGGCTTCACAGATGGACGCGCTCGCGGTGGAAGGACTCGGGGCTGAACAGGCAGATGAGCTGAGAGGTGGCCTGGTCGAGAGGTGGACAGGCGGCACACAGGCGGACAGGCAGACACAGGGCTGGCAGAGAGGACGGCACGGAGAGAATGACAGGTCGGCAGGTTGACAAGTTGACGGGTTGACAGGTGGACGGGCGGACAGGCACACAGGATGACAGGCGAACAAGACGGACGAACGGGAGAACAAGCGGGCATGCAGACAGGGTTGAGAGGGGGACAGGCGGAGATGCTAACGAGCTGCGTGTGCACTGTTGCAGCGTTCGAATTCCCGCGGATTAATTACGAGAAGCATAACGGACGCGACTACACGTTCGCCTACGGCCTGGGCCTCAACCACTTCGTGCCGGACAAGGTGAGCGCAGAGACCTCGCGGGCTGAGCATCCCGCGACAGCCACCGCCACCACCACCACCGATTACAAAGACAAAGTGACCCCCCGTATAGCTTCAGCAGACTGTTGAGGCAAGTGCTGTTAGCGATATAATCTACGAAGACCGCCAAGGCACACGAGGGGGTGGGGAGGGGGGAAGCACCACAGCCGGCCGCCTTTGTCTCCCCAGTGGCGATGTTTACACGCTGCGCACCAGGTACTCATTTAGGGGAGGCCCAGGACCGGTTCTGGTAATCGTCGCCGATGTTGTCCGTGAGCGGGAATCGAACTCGGGTCGGTGAGTTCGTAGCGCAGTGCGCTAACCGCTGCCCATACCACCACCGCCACCGCAGCCACCGCAGCCAGCCACACTTCTAAGGCCGCGGGTTCGTGAGCGCAATGTGCCGTGGGTCTCACCCGCAGATCTACAAGCTGAACGTGAAGACTAAGGAGCACTGGGTGTGGCAGATCCCGGGCACCTACCCTTCTGAGCCCATCTTCATAGCCCGGCCGGATGCCAAGGATGAGGACGACGGTAAACAGACAAATAAATATCCTCGGCGCCACGCTCCGAGCACGGAGCGGTCGGAGCGTGGCGGAGCGTGGCTCCCAGGGCCGCTCTGAGCACGCGGGTGGACTCGGTGGTGACTGTGTGATGACGTACGCTGAACTTCTTTCGCACCGTACACAGCCAACCGTGCTAATCAGAGGTTCCGGGGGAAGGACAACGAGAGAAAAATAGCAGTTCAGTTCAGATGACTGGAATGCGGCGGCAGTGTGCCATGATTGTTGTTGATGATGATGGTAATTATTGATGATGATGATGGATAATTATTATTAGTTTTACATTTTACCCAGGAAAGCCTCACTGAGTCTCGAGACTCTTGGTCAGGAAGGCCCTGCTAAGTTTGTGGCAGTAGCTGACAATGATTCCTATCTGTAATCTGAATTGATCTCGGTTTTTTATTTGGAAAACGAAAAAAACCTATATTATGGATGATATTGTTCGCGAAAGCCTCCGTGTTAAACTTAAATGATCTCAATCGCACCCATGAAATTTGCGAGAAATATTTGAAATTTCGCAAATTTGTACCGTGCCGCCGGCACGCAGTGCCCTCCTCCTCTTCGAACGACGTCACGGGATCTCTGAGGTCCACTGCGAAAGCACCACGGGGCCGAGTGTTGCATGAATCATACACACAGCGCAGTATTAACCGCGTCGGCCTGCTGGGTTTCTGAACTACGAACCTCTGCAACAAGCAGCGAACGCGCTCACGCTTGGCGATGTCTCCGCCCCCACGATGAGCGTTGATGGTAGATGAAGATGAAGATGGATGAGGATGATAGATCATGATGACTGATGATGATGCGCCAGTTAAGGGGTCCACCAGACCAGCTCTGGGAAGCAGGGCTCTGTGCTCACCATGCACAAGAAGCCTTGCTCTCAGCGAGTTCTCACGTCGTTTGAATAAAGAACATTGCGTGTGTTGTGTCCAGTTTCTCAACGTGTCACACAGCACGAAGGACCTGGGTTCGATTCCCCACTAATACACCTTTCTCTGTGGAGTTTGTGTTCTCCGGTTCCTCCCATAGCTATTTTATGTTTCGATTTAAAGCTTTCGTGACTGCAGGGATTCGTCTTCTTGGTTCTTTCGGTAAAGTCATGTAGAAGGGAAGTAATAAAATAAAAAACATAAAACATAATAAAATAATAAAATAAAAACATAATAAAAAATATATATATATAATAAAATAATATTATATAATGTCATGTTTTATTTTTATTATTTTATTACTTCCCTTCGACGTGACTTTACCGAAAGAACCAAGAAGATATTTTATGTTTGTTTTAAAAAAGTGTAAATACAGCGTAGCTGGCAATGGCCAAACATCACAACGTTGAATTATTGCCTGCAAATAACTCAATTGGGATTGACATCACTGCGGCAACATCGCCACCTACTGCGCAAACTTGGCAAGACCCTCTTGAAAAAAAACGAGTCTTGAGACTCGGTGAAACTTTCTTGGTTAAAGAAGTACTCATCCGATCAGTTTCGCTTCTCAATGAGTCTGCCTACCACCGTATCGCCGCCTCCTCCTCCTCACCACGAGATGGCCCGACCTGATGGTGACCCCAGGGCCCCTCTAGACGACCCCGGGAGCCTCCCCCCGCCCCCCCTCATGACCTCACCGCTGCCGTGTGACCCCCTCTCACCCATAACCCTGCTCCTTAGGGGTCCTGCTGACGACGGTGGTGAGCCCTGGGCCCGCGGGACGCACCCCGGCCTTCCTGCTCATCCTCAACGCCAAGGACCTGACGGAGGTCGCTCGCGCGGAGGTTGACGTCAACATCCCCGTGTCCTTCCACGGAATGTTCAAGGAGAGCTCGAAGTGACAGGGAGCTGGTAGGGGGTACGGACGGGGGGGGGGGTAGGAATAGTGTGGCTGGTGTGGGGGGCTTAGCCCACCGCCCCCCCTGGTGGTCACAGCTACGAGTTGGTGCTCCCCCATCCTTAACAACCACCATGAGATTTGTCTTCAACAACGGCGTGAATAGAACACAAACACTTATGTAACGATGTGACTAGCAAGAGGAGGCGGGATGTATAATGGCCTCGGTGCGACCGTGCGAGACAAATCAAATATTGGGGGGCCCCCACCCTGACCGATTGCCGCATCCACTGAGCTGACAATGTCGTTACTACGCCACTGATAATGTCGTTACTACGTCACTGATATTGTAGTTACTACGCCACTGATAATGTAGTCACTACACTGATAATGTAGTTACTACGCCACTGATAATGTAGTCACTACGCCACTGATAATGTAGTTACTACACCACTGATAATGTAGTTACTACGCCACTGATAATGTCGTTACTACGCCACTGATAATGTAGTTACTACACCACTGATAATGTAGTTACTACACCACTGATAATGTAGTCACTACGCCACTGATAATGTAGTTACTACGCCACTGATAATGTCGTTACTACGTCACTGATAATGTAGTTACTACGCCACTGATAATGTAGTCACTACGCCACTGATAATGTAGTTACTACACCACTGATAATGTAGTTACTATGCCATTGATAATGATGGTTACTACGCCACTGATAATGTAGTCACTACGCCACTGATAATGTCGTTACTACGCCACTGATAATGTAGTTACTATGCCACTGATAATGATGTTTACTACGCCACTGATAATGTAGTCACTACGCCATTGATAATGTAGTTACTACACCACTGATAATGTAGTTACTACGCCATTGATAATGTAGTTACTACACCACTGATAATGTAGTTACTACGCCACTGATAATGTAGTTCCTGCGCCACTGATAATGTAGTCACTACGCCAATGATAATGTAGTTACTACGCCACTGACATTGTAGTCACGACGCTACTGATAATGTAGTTACTACGCCACTGATAATGTAGTTACTACGCCACTGATAATGTAGTTACTACGCCACTGATAATGTAGTCACTACGCCACTGATAATGTAGTCACTACGCCACTGATAATGTCGTTACTACGCCACTGATAATGTAGTTACTACGCCACTGATAATGTAGTTACTAGGCCACTGATAATGTAGTCACTACGCCACTGATAATGTAGTCACTACGCCACTGATAATGTAGTTACTACGCCACTGATAATGTAGTTACTACGCCACTGATAATGTCGTTACTACGCCACTGGGGGTTGAGGGGACACGGAAAGGTCTTGCCACAGCAGCGATCGTTTGGCTGCTCGTGACGCCTCTCCGTTACCACGACGTGAGACTTCGGCTTCATCCGGATGGGACACAGAATTGGCATCCTGTGTGTCGCCTGGCGAGAATTGATGTGTAGCGTTGAACTTCATTTCGGCAAACTTTACTGCGCAGCGCAAATAGAGCGAGGCTAACCTGAGAAATACTGCCTGCCCGCGTTTCGTCTGCGGTGGAATTAGTGGCAGCCACCGTGATAATTTGCAGCGGTTTTAGTCGAGGTGAGGTTTGCTGCCCTTGGACCGGTTTTGTACCTCCACTAGAGCCCCGTACCGCGCGCACACGCACAGACACGCACACGCACAGACACGTACACAGACACACGCACGCACAGACACACACGCGCACACGCAGACACGCACGCGCCTGGTGGTGTTATGTGCACGAAAATCGCCGGATAGGAAAATCCACCGCGTTCCTCTTCCTCACCCACCAGATGGCGGAATAAGCTCGCGTTTGTCGCAATCTGGGGCCTCCACACTCCTCGGTGCGAACACGCGGAGGCGTGGAGGTGTCCCCGTGCCATGCCTGACCACGTTTGAGAGCGCAATTCCCCAGTGCGGTTGGTGGTGGGGGCAGGTGGGGGGGCTCTCGCTCCTCATCTCACCGTGATCACTCCAAGGTTGAGATGGAGATGCGATGCTCTAAATAAACCTTCTGGCTGTGTCGCTGGCTGTGTGTGTGCGCTTTGTGTTTCGGTCGCAACGCGTCGGGAGCGTGAGGAGGCCACGTTGCGGCGTTTGGTGCCACCGATCCGCACCGCATTGCAGGCCACGTGGCTCTCGGGCTCCGAATGAGAGTCGAAACTCAGAGATGCGGACACTCAGAGGCTGGCTTTGGGATGTTCAGCGAATCGGGTATTTCTGGGATTTGAGGAATCGGAGATCTTGGGGGGGCGACTCGGACACCCTGGGACACTGGGACCCCTGGTCACGTGGGGCATCTGTCAGAAAAATCGCCTCCAGCCCCGCAAAGAGAGTGATTTCAGGAGCTTTTTATTCCAAATGTAATCACTGTTGGTTTGCAGGAGTTGTTGATGATTGGGCCGAGACGATCAACTCACTGCACAGTGAGAAGACGGATTAATCACCGGTGGCTGAACCCGGGATTCTAACCCAGGAACTCGGCAGTGTTGGCTCAGTGCCCCTGAGCCACTGTGAAACTTCTGCCTCTTAAATGTAATTTTGGAGCGGTGGCGCAGCAGTTAGCGCACCGCGCCGTGAACCCGATCTCCTGAGTTCAATTCCAGGCCTCAGCGACACACCAGTGGCGAGTGGAGTCATTTCACGTGGCAGACAACAGTTGATTGGGCATAACGATAGCCCCTGGATGAGCATGGCCCTTCCCGTGATGCGGCTTTGCAGGAACGTTTTCATAGTTTTGCGGACGCACGCCGACACGCCGGGCCGTTGCGAGGGGGGTCCGTGATGTACCTGCCAGGGCGCGGCAGGCGGCATGCGCGCACTTCGCAATTGACGATTTCAACGTTTGAATTTAAATTCTCATTTTGCACGTACCTATGACTTTTCAAATGCTTTATTTATACTCTGCTGCTGAAAATAGAAAACCGCTCACGTGTCATTTCAAAATTGGGCATTTGTCAACCTTAACAAAAATATATCACGGTTTTCTCAGGATGCTCCCCACAGTGCAAAGTGTATGACCTCCAACGAAAAGTCAGTCAGTCTCTCTCTCTACCCTCCCCACTCTATTCATCCTAAAGAAGGGCCATTTCCCCAAACCTCTATTCTTCTATTGTATATCACGATGAACGTCGTGTGTGTTTGTTGTTTGAGAGGTAGTATTGTTATTATTCCGCTTGATCACCCAGCAAAGCTTCACTGAGAATCTCAAGACTCGAGTTCAGGAGGAGGGTCCTGCCAAGTTTTGTTCGCAGTAGGAGGCGCCGATCGCTGCCGTTGCGTTCCCCAATCGAGTTTAAATTTCCACGCTTCACTAAGATCACCTCCGAGATAAACAAACCTCGCCCGGTGGCATCTCTTCTCTCAATTTTTTTTTAAACCGCAACGTTTCAGGCGACCGTATAACGAACGGCTCTGCAGCATCGTCCTCTGGAACGTGGTTGAGAGGGGAGGGGGGCAGGGGGGGGCTGTGGGGGGAGGGGGGTGATGGGGGGGGGGCTGTGGGGGGAGGGGGGTGATGGGGGGGGGCAGTACAATATCTCATCCTCACTTCCCAAATCTGGCCGGCACCGTGGAATGAGCGCGCTATGCCGTAATGCGCGCCGCGGTGCCAAGGTTGGTCTGATTGAGAGATTACAAGCGGGTGACATGCGGAGAGCGCCGTGGATCGTCGGCGCTGAGCCAAGTGTCCAATTACCGTAACGGTGGCACACGGAGGCATGCAGATGGCCCTGCATCTCAATTCCTGCCCTCCAGCCAGCGGGGAAAGGTCATCTGTTAAGTAATCTAATTGGTCCTGCGGCTCTAAAGAAGAAGAGAGAGATTCCAAGTCGGAGCGTGTACGGCGCCATTGGGTGGGGGTTGGGGGGGCGCTCAGGGTGTGAACAGAGCAACTGAGTGTGTCTTTGTGTCTGCGGAGAGCGGTAGCGTCGTGGTTAACGCGCTGCGCTACGAACCCGGTAACCCGAGTTGGATTCGCGCTCACGGCCGACATCGGTGACGAATACCTGAACCGGTTTTGGGCCTCCGCGACGTCGACTCAGCCTCAAATGAGTACCTGGTGCGGTGTGTGAACATCGCCACGAGGAAGACAAAGGCGGATGGGCGTGGTGCTGGCCACCCAACTCCCTCGTGTGCCGTGCCGGCCTTCATTAGGTGCTCGCTAACAGCACTTGCCCCAAGTCTCTTAAGGCTACACGGGGGATCTTTGTCTTTGTATTGTCTGTGCATGAAGGCGCGTGGAGCACAAAAAGACAAAGATCCTCCGTACAGCCTTAACAGACAGTTGGGGCAAGTGTTGTTAGCGAGCACCTATGAAGGCCGGCACGGCACGCGACGGGGTGAGGTTGCCAGCACCACGCCCGGCCGCCGTTGTCTCTCTAGTTGCGATGTTTACAGATCGCACCTGGTACTAATTTGAGGCTGAGCCAACCTGGGGGATGCCCAGAACTAATTATATAAGCGTCACTCGTGTCGGTGGCCGTGAACGTGAATCGAACTCGCACGGCCACCTTTGTCTCCCCAGGTTCGTAGCGCAGCGTGCTAACTGCTGCACCACCGCTCCCCGCCGCAACTCACGTCCCGTTGTGACTTCTCGCTCCGTTCTCGTCGGATCTCAGAATCTCAGAAGCTTTGATCCTGGCTGGAACTTGGGTGTGTGGCCACCAAGGTGTGTTAGACGCGATGTCTCGAGGCTGATCAGGAGACGACATTGCAACAGTGCACTCTTGAATCTATCCGTGCGGAGAGTCGAGTGTCTTCCACTCTCAACTGCGATTGCTTTTCTCCAGATGCTCCACTTTCCTCCCACGTTGAAGCTCGGCTGTCACGAACGGAATCGGCCAAACATCCCCGTTGAATAGGACCCGCCTGACCAAGTCGTAAATCCTCCTCAATGAGACTTTTAAGTATAAATCATTGCTATTATTTCAGCATATATATTTTTACTACGACTGAGTTTACCATATTTAATTCTCATTCGTATGTTTTGTTTAATTGATTGAACAATCTGTTTCGTACATAGAAATGTTGTTTTTTTTTGGTATGGTTTTCATATAAACCCTCTTGGGTTTCTAACCTCACCAGCACACATTTTCACTTTGTTTTTATTTGTATTTTTTTGCGCGAATAAATAATAACTCATTCAAGATGATTCCCAAATATGGGATCCCACTCAGAGGGCCCCTCCCTTGAGTGGCGCGTCACTTGGAAGCGGCGATCGCCCCGTGGCACCCCAAGCAGCACGCACGAGATGACGAATCGATCTTTTCCACGGCGGATTCAACTTATTTTGTCCAAATTGACTGCGACGTGCGGCGCGCTTCTCTTGCAACACGCCATTAGGAGTCCATTAATTTCGCCGAAATGACATCTTGCGATGGGCCCTCCTTCCTAACACGCGGTTTGTTTTGCCCTTCTTCTGGGTGGGCTGGTGCGGGTTGGGAGGGGGCAAACATGAACTCTGTGAATCCACCCCGAGTTGGGGGGAGGGGTGTGGGCGCCTTCCGTGTGAGCCACCCGTGGGTTCCTTATTTACGAGCCAGGTTTCGCGTTCCGTGTATGATTCGTAACGGGACAGATGTGTGCGATTCGCGTCGGGCGGGGGGGGCCCTCCCGGAGCCCCATACATCACGCGGCAGGCGGCGGCACGCGGCGCGGATAAAGTGCACGGAGCTCCCGATAAATCAATCGCGGCCGTGACATCTCCCAGCTGCCGCCTGTCGGCGATGACAGCTGCGAGCGTGGAAGGAGACGCGTGGCGGCGGAGGCGGTGGCCGTGGCGGCGGAGGCGGTGGCCGACAGTGAAATAAACAACGAGAAGCCGACGTCGGAATGAGATTCATTTCGTCACGTTCGCTCGCGTCGGTTTAATTTAATTTGTTGTTATTTTGTTGCCGTTGCCCGTTTCGTAAATTCCGGTAATTAATAGATGCCTCGTCGTGACTTCTCGCTCCCCGCAATATGCCCCGCCATATGCGAAGTTTTTCCTTTTGTTTGCGCCGGTGGCACGCGCCCACTTGCCACCGCTCCAGTTTGCCGCCCGAGGGACAAACTCCATCACTGCCATCGTTCGCGGCGCGCAGCAACCCCGGGCTGCCGCTGCTCTCTCTGCGCGGGACGCGCGGCCTGGTGGCGTGCACGGGGGCGGTGGTTTCGTGCGCGGTTCTTCCCCTTGCGGTGATCGGGGCCGGTGGCAAGGACGGATGTGATTGGTTTTAGAGCTACTGCATGCACCGGCGAGCGGAGAGCACGCACGCGGACCCGTCGATACAATGCAATTACAAACTCCGTTTGGAGTTAAAGGGCGTCTGAGCGCGGCCGCGTCACTGGGGGTCGCCGGACCGCTGGGCACGCGTGCTCACGTCTGCTGGTGCCCACTCCCCGCAATGCACCTGCCTACACCTGCACACAGGCGCTCGCAACTTTATCACACCGCAAACACAAGCGCGTCAGGATTAGACGTGAGTACACTTGCACACAAAGACAACGACCCCCCCCCCCCGTATAGCCTTTACAGACTGTTGGGGCAAGTGCTGTTAGTGAGCACCTATGGGCAGCCGCCACGGCACACAAGCGAGTGGGTGGCTAGCACCACGCACGGCCACCTTTGTCTCCCCAGGTAAGATGTTTACACACCGCACCAAGTTCTCATTTGAGGCTGAGTCGACCACTTACGCACACACACACAACCATCCACTCCTGCTCACACCCACTCGCACCTGAACACACACCGCATACACTCACTCACATGTACTCCTCACGCCTGCTCGCACCTGCGCGCTGACCAATCGACATCCTTCAGAGTAGCAGCACCCATTCACAGGTTCTCTCGCGCGTGCCACCACAATTGATCTGCCGTCGGCACGGCGTGATTCTCGGAGAGCTTCGCGGAATTCGGGACTCTCGGGTGACGGAGAGGAGGGCGTGGGCGAGTGAACTGACCACGAGTGTCACCAATGTCAGGTTCGCGCACTGCATCGCGTCCTCACCCCCCCCCCCCCCCCGTGACCCCACAGGTCATCCCC